ATCTCTCACTGCCTCCATTTCTTCCCCTTCTATTTGCCAGGAGGTGATGGGACCAGTGGCCATGATCTTTGTTTTTTTGATGTTGAGCTTCAGACCATATTTTGTGCTCTCCTCTTTCACCGTCATTAAAAGGTTCTTTAATTCCTCCTCACTTTCTGCCATCAATGTTGTGTCATCTGCATATTTGAGGTTGTTGATATTTCTTCTGGCAATCTTAATTCCGGCTAGGGATTCATCCAGCCCGGCCACAACCCTCAACCAGTCTGAAAAAGTTTACTCATTCCTGTGCATAAATAAGTAAATGTAAATAAGTAACCATAGCCATTTGTCCCTGTGTGTGTGATTCCACATATGTGGGGGAAATTAATCCAGTTCCAGATATAAACGTACAAGATGGATAGCTTTTATCATAGTTGCTTTTTGTGTCAAGGTAAATGGTAGTGGACTGGGTTTACAAAATCTTAGGTGTGCCCAATCCTGCATGGGATTGCAGCCTCAACCCTTTATTTTCAGTGGAGTTGGTCACAGCATGGGATCAGGCTGTTAATATTTTGAATACTTATAACTTAACATAGCTCAAGGGGAGAATGCTTTTGACTGTTTCCATGAGAGATTCCTACAGGCTTCGATTCTATTGAAAAGACTCCGGCTTTCCCCAGTGTGCAACTATCATTTACAGTGGTACCTCGCAAGACGAATGCCTCGCAAGACGGAAAACTCGCAAGACGAAAGGGTTTTTTCTTTTTTGAGCTGCTTCGCAAGACGATTTTCCCTATGGGCTTGCTTCGCAAGATGGAAACGTCTTGCAAGTTTGTTTCCTTTTTCTTAACACCGTTAATACAGTTGCGACTTGACTTCGAGGAGCAACTCATAGCACGCGGTGTGGTAGCCTTTTTTGAGGTTTTTGAAGACTTTGGTGATTTTTTGAAGCTTTTCCAAAACTTTTCCAACACCGTGCTTCACAAGACGAAAAAAATCGCAAGACGACAAAACTCGCGGAATGAATTAATTTCGTCTTGCGAGGCACCACTGTACTATAAAATAGTGGGGAGCCTCTGGCCTGCACACGATGCTGGGGAAGTTAAAGCTGTAGCTGCGAAAGAACAGCCAGCAGCTTGCTTATTATTATTATTATCCATCGTTGTTGTTATAATTATTAACTCCAAGGCTTCTTAGTTGTTCCTTTGCAGTTGCAGCTTGAACCCAGTTGAATTCTCTGCTGTTTGAATTGTGTGCTGTTGAGGTTTTTAAAGCTGTTTTCCACAGGGATCCCATTCATTTTGGCCCTCCCCAAGGCATCTGATTCCCACCAAAAGCAGAGATATTTCTACAGTGGAAGGTTGTGTGTGTGTGTTTCATGGCTAAGACTC